TATCTCAACGATAAAGCCAAATCCGGACCCAATTGATTGTTGCCAACCAACGAGGCGATTGGAAAGTTGACTGTGAACTGTCCAGTTCGTGGATCGACTTGCGTTTGCAAGGCATCTCCGAAATTACCGGCGTGGGACGTAAAATCTGAATTCATTTCAATTTCAAATGGAGTATTGAATCAAGGAGAGCCAAATTTTTACTCTTTATGTGATTTGATTGTTTTTGATTTAGTTTGAATATTTTCAATAGAGCTATAGCCACTAAAGACACTTCTCTGAAACTCTCAGAAGATTAAACTAAAGAGAACTAACCATATAATGGGCCGAACGTTTTATTTATACAAGAAGTTTATCCAAAACTCAAAATGATAAGAAAATATGTTTGGTTTTGTGGCTTTCTATTCCCGCAATCGCTCAAACATTGATGAATATCAAAACCAACCTTGATCTTCGCTGCATAATATTAATGTGGTTGATAGAAACAATGTACACATTTCATGTGGTCATATCACAATATTTAGAATATATTTGTTCATTTTGTAGTTTGGTACAATGTTTGCTATCAGATAAGACCATCGAAGAGTGTAACTTCCTTATTTGAAACAACATACTAGTTATCGTTTCGAAGTTTGAAATTGAGGATTGGTTTTCTGGTAACTGTGGCTATTATTCAAGCAATCCATTCGAGATAAATATTTGATGTTTAATAATGTTAACCATTCAAAAATTAATTACATTTTACTTAATCTTCTCTGATAAGACTCCGTGTGCATAGCTAAACTATGTATTCATTTGGTTCTGATGATCTGAATAAATGGATTGTATAAAGATGAGATAATAATTGAGTTGGTTATGCAGCAAGATTAAATGTATGATGATGAATGTCATGCAACAAATGTAACTAACAACTTCATTAGCATTGATACTTTTTTCTTCCGAGAAATGGGAGTCTGGATGATTTGTAGTTTTATACGTTGCAACTTTAAACGGTTTGGTTTAAAAATGCGCTTAGTGGATTATCGTTCGATTCAATTCGTAAAATGTAATCAATATATTAACGCTTGAATATTGATTATTTGTTTTAGCTTCCGTCATTCAGCATACAAACTCAAACCTCTAGTGTAATAATTTGTCTCAGGGCTGGGAATACTGGTATTTGATCGACTTTTTACCATAGATAATTAAAAAAATATTCATAATCCTGGATTCCTCATGATTTAAGGAGGGAAGGCGATAGACATAAATCAGAGAACAATCATTTCCATTGTTTAAAATTGTCAAAAGTGTGTCTAATTTTGAAACGGAATAATTTATTCTGTCCAATTTTTTGTTTACGATATTTATTTGACAAATAAATTAAGATGAATAGTCAACATGAAATCAAAAAATTTATTTTGAAAACAAATTTTGTTTGGTGTTTTCTTCGCATATGTAATACAGTCTATAGCTGCACAAGTGATCGTTCCATTTCAGAATATGATACCCTTTGAGCTCAATGCATTCTTCTTGTCCGTAGCCAGTGTGTGCATGTAGATTGTCTGGAACTCCATTTTCCCAATCCGTGAATGTAAGTGGTTGTCCATTTCCCCACACATATGTTCCGTTGTTGTTGGTTCGACTACCAGAAGTCCAGAAACCGATTTCACCTTGATCTGTTTTAGAAAAGAAAGTAAAAATGAAATTCCGATTTGAATGTAGCTGGCTACATATCTATATGAATTCCACTTATACTACACTTACTGGCATCTTTTATTGCTTGTATTACATTATCATTGTCTTCTTTTGATAAAATATTGACCAATTGCAGCCCTTCTGATTGGCAGTGTCTCATTGCATCTGCCCAGCTAACCTTGAAGCGAAATAATATTGTTAGATGAAAAATTATAATTCTCCCTTAACGAAGAATGAACTCTTACCCTCGTAGTAAAAATATGATATTTTTTCACTAGATCATAAAGTGGCTCTGGCTCCGGTTCCGGTGTAAGTACTTCTTCGTTTTCATTATTTTCATAATAACCGAACATTTGCACTGAAGAATGAAAGAAAAACCAGTCAAACAATGAAATTCTTCAAATTTTGTTGGTTATTTGTTCAGCATAAAGAATTTAAAATTGAAACGAATGATTGATCTGAATTTTGTTTATTGCTTTATTAAATGTTCATTTTCAAACTTATGTTCACATACGTACCAGTCAAAATCTGTTGAGCAAAAAGTAAAATTATTGCCAAAAATGAACACGTTTTCATTTTACTTTTTAATTTGAACAATTTGAGTAAAATTATTAGAAATCAAATTTGCTGTTCGTGAGTAAACCCTATGAATGAAGTTATATCAGTCTCACCATTGGCTTAAATACTTCATTGCTTTGTAAGCTCACACAATTGATATGTTTCGCTGTAAAATGAATAGATTACAACTTCGAAGAATAAATGATTTTGCTTATTTCAATTTCCACATAACAAAGCAAAGTAAACCATTTCTAATTAAAGTTATCATTTTTTTATTAATTTCTGTTGAATTCCGCCTGGAACGCTGTTGCCTCTGATATTTCGTAGGTAACTCACTATTGTGCTGTACTTTCAATACGTGCTAAACTGTCAATAAACGTACAGCGATTTGCTTCAAATCATTCCATTGGAGAGATAAGGAATCAGTCGTACTATTTTTAGACGTTGAAAATTGCATGCTTACCGTCCGGTATGAAATTTATTTATAGAAAATTATATTGATGAGTATTGAAGCTGATAAAGAGCATATTTTTTTATTCTCTTAACAGGCAATACAATTCTCGGACGTTTGGAAAATAGGAAAAAAAACGGTAGGGAAGAGTGGGGAATGGTGAAACGTGGGGAATTGTGAAACAGTTCGTTTTCTCGGCAGATCGAAATGTTTGACAGGTTCAAAAAACTGTCATAGCCTTGTCTTAGCTCATTTTTCCAATATCACTCAATGCGTGTGCTTGTAACGTTAGCTCTCTGTGAGGACTTTTCGAAAATGAGGCCCCAAATATTTTTATTCACCGTTCTTGTTTGCATTGATTTCACAGCTTTTATTGAAGAATCAACTCAGATGAATATGTTTATGATAATCATATACCATTGATATTTCGACTCACAAAAAGAATTTTGCATGAACATTCAATGAGTAGCCCAAACGCGGTCAAGTTGCAAACCTAAGTGGGTGGGGAATTGTGAAACACCCTTTGTGGGGAAAGGTCAAGCCATTTTTCAAGTTAATTTGGCATATTTTATGCATATTTATTACATTTCTTGCAAAAATTATTCAATGCAATTTATACGCTCGAGCTGTTCGCTTGAAATGCACCAAAATGATTGGCAGCTATTTCACAGGCAACAATTGCAAATCCTGCACTGTGTGTTTGTTGTATTTGAAACGGCTGAGAAACTTATAAGTTGAATTCAACGATCAATTGCGTGGTTCAAAGTATAGGAGAGAGTGGGGAATGGTGAAAAACTTCATAAATCAATAGAAAACTGAAACAATTTTGATGCAAAATGTTTATGGAGAGCTAGAAAATGATTAAAGAAACCATTTCAATAAGAGTTCGAAAAATAGCGATTGATATTAGTGCACGTTACACAGCTATGTTGTAATATACCATCTGCACTGTGTTGTGGACAGAAACATAGATGCTGTGTGCGGCTATATGAATCACTCAACACAGCCGAGTTATCGAGATAAAATTACATCAATCACAAAACCAATCACCTTATCAGAGACTGATTTAACTCTAAACAATCAGCTTTCAAATATATAAATCATAATAAATGTATTATTTATTACAAGTAGAATATATTAAATAAATAAAAACAAAAAATAATTACACAGTTACGAAATGGGTTGTGTCTCATCAATTGATTCATGTGGTTCTTCGCATATAAAGTACAATTCATTGCTACAAAAGCGATAATTCCACTTCAGTATGTTCAATCCCATTATTTCTATACATTGTTCTTCTTCACCGTTGTTCGATCGAACATTATCCGGTTTGCCAGCCTCCCAATTTGTGTAAGTAATTTTTTTCTCGTTCCCCCAAAAATATACACCATTCGTTTTTCGTCTATTGCCCGATGTCCAAAAGCCGATACGACCCTCACCTGGCAAAACCGAAAGAAATTCGCGATTTTGTAAATGAGTATAAACGGATCAACTGGTTCTCATTAATTTACTCACCCGCAGCTTTGATTACTTTCACAACATTGTCGTTGTCCTCTTCTGACAAAATACTTATCAATTTCATGTTTTTGGAACGACATTGTTTTGTTGCTTCTATCCAATTCGCCTAAGGTCAAGGTAAAAATGGTTTTGATGGTAAAATCCATTCATGTCGTATGATTGATCATTCTCTAGATCATTCTTTAACTTACTTTTGTAGTGAAAAGTAAATATTTGCCGATTGGAATTTCAGTTGGTTCCGGCTCAGGTGCAAGTACATCGTCGTTTCCATCACTATATTCAACAGGTCGTGCTACAATTTGCGCTATGAAATATTTAAGAACAAATTGAATTGAAACGAAAAACTGAACTGGTGATAAGAAGTTTACTTGAAAAAAATTGTTTTTAATGCTGGGAGCATACCGATTGAGAGAACGATTATGGCCAAAATCAAAAATTGTTTCATTTGAATTTGTAAAATGAACCAAAGATGAATCTAAGTAAAATAAGACTGTATCCGGATCAGCGGTTGTTGTGTCAATACTGTATGCTAAGACAATTTAAAGGAAACCGCAACATTCTGTCGAATATATACACACAACAACACAGAATTGGTGATTTCGTGTGGTAAATAACCAAAACCTTTTCTTAGAGCTGATTAATGTGGTTTTTCCATTGGGTTGTTATTTTGCCAAAAAAAAAATCTTCAAACCAGTCAAATAATGAATGACTTGCTGTTATTTTCTTCAATTTTATTATAATAAAATTAAATATTCTCCGAAAAATGAATACGTCTGATTTTGCCGAGAATAACATCACGAGCATGCAACAAAAGATGATGTATCAGTGCTGATAGCGATGTAATGTTGTTGACTGTATATTTCGTGGAAATTCCAAACAGGAAATTAATCATTTGAAATTACTGCGAAACAAACACTGGTTTGGAGCTAGAAATATGTATCGAATCGCAATGCACGATCTCCTGTGTATTGAAAGACGCACGCGTAAGTGTGAGTATGAATATAGTACACAGCGAACAACGATTGCTCTTAGGATACGTTCGTCGTATGGTCGTCCGTACGCGTCTATGTTTTGCACATCTATACAGTATAAAACATCTAGGTGAACATATTTCTATCTCCGAACCAGTGCTTGCTAAGAAAAACTGGTGGACCTTATAATTGGTTGGTTTTCATATTTAGCATTCTTTTTGAATAGAACTCTGGAGTAAGCACATTGTTTCTTAGCTCCTGGTGTGTTTATTGAATATTTCTAAAAAACATATATTTTGAAGATTTGAAGTGTGAAGTCTTTTGAGAATCAGACAAGTTCAAATAAGTAAACAGTAAACGTCAGACATATTGATACGTTAATTAATTATTCGTTTCACATATGTAGTATAAACTGTGGCTGCAAAAATTGTCGTTCCATTTTAAAACTCCAAATCCTTTCACCTCAATACATTCTTCCTCCTCGCCATCAATGACTCGGTTGTCCGGTTTGCCGGTTTCCCAATCGGTAAACGTTACTTGACTTCGATTAAACCAATAAAATGTGCCATTCGTTTCCAATCGATTCCCTGAAGTCCAAAAACCGATTTTACCCTGGCCTTATTGAGGAGAAATTAGTTGTTTTTTCTTCAAAATTCAAAGTAATTGTTACAATGAAGTCATATAGATTGTCTCACCGGCTTCTTTTATCGATCCGATTAAATTATCATTTTCTTCTTTCGATAAAATGCTCACCAGTTCCATTCCTTTTGATTCACATTGTTTCACCGCTTCTGTCCAATTGACCTAAAATATGAAAATTAACACCAATAAAATTTCGATCGTACACTTTGTTTACATATTTTTACTCTGGATGTATAGAGATGATAATCCTTTGGTTTTCTTTTCATTCGATAATTCGCAGTTCTTTGAACAACGTCATGGCTAAAAATCGACACTGAAGAAAATATGATTTTAACTTTTTAAATGTTGTCATCTTCCCAAGATTCAACGTACCCACGGAGAAAAAATAAATTAAAAAAACGAGAGACTGTTGCATTTTACTAGAGAAATATATATGAATCCGTTAGAAGCTGAAAAAAATTTAATTTATGTTTATATTCAATCAAATAATGTTGCAACAAAAATGAATCCAAAATGAGACAAGCAGAAAAACGGTGTCTTCTGTTTTCGTAAAGTACTTGCTTCTGAAAAGATTAAATACGTAAAAAATAATCTAAATTCGAACATGCATATCTTTTCTGTGTTCAATTTTTCTTTCAGCGTGAATCAATCAGACCCAATTCTCTAAGTTGAGATAATGTGATCCCATTCACGTAATCTTTGTGTATGTTGATGTGCCAATCTGTTATGACTTTTAAGTCGAGTAGGTCACTTAGCAAGTGAATCTGAATGCAGAATTGTGTCAAGCTGGCAAAATATTAGCACAAAGTGTGCGGAATGACATTTGATAAGAAATAATGTTCTGGAATTTTTCAATATTCAATTCCAATAAATATACTGTAGCCACAGAGCAAAAAATCCAGTTATCTTCTTTGATAATTCAAAATGAATATAAATAAACATGATTTGATAAGCAAAATAATTTGCGGAGTTTTTTTTTTATTGAGAGTTAAAATATGAAATTAAGTAGTCACAATAGTCGTGTGCTGTTAGATTGTTTTGTTTCATTCTTTACATCGTCCAAGTGCTAATATCCGTCGTTGTCATCATCAGCTTCATCGTCATCGATATCAGCCGCTGCTTCTTGATACTGTTGGTATTCCGAAATCAAGTCATTCATGTTATTCTCGGCTTCGGCAAATTCCGCTTCGTCCATACCCTCACCTATAGTACGTGAAAGATTAATTTTTACCAATTAATTAAACTTTCATTTGAAAAATGAATAAATTTTGTATATATAAGATATAATTATCTTATAATTTCCTCACACTCAATATTATAGCGACATCTATTATTAAAATAGCTTGTAGTAAACGCATTCATAGCATTTCACTGTAGTTGCGATGTTACCTATTAAATTCCCCTGTGGTATGTAGTTAACAAGTGTCAAACATGAATGTGTCAGTACTACAAGGGAACTTAATAGGAAACATCGCAACTACAGGGAAATGCTATAAATGCATTTACTACAAGCTATTTTAATAATAGATGTCGCTATAATATTGAGTGTGCTAGTTAATTTGTTTTGCTGCGTTAAACTTACCCAAATACCAATGCAAAAATGCTTTTCGGCGGAACATTGCTGTAAATTGTTCGGACACGCGACGGAAGAGCTCTTGAATGCTCGTCGAGTTTCCAATGAAAGTGCCGGACATTTTCAAGCCACGCGGTGGAATGTCGCAAACGGCCGTTTTGCAATTATTCGGGATCCATTCAACAAAATAGCTGCTATTCTTGTTTTGGATGTTCAGCATCTGTTCGTCCACTTCTTTCATTGACATACGGCCACGGAAAACAGCTGCAACTGTCAAGTATTTTCCGTGTCTCGGATCACATGCAGCCATCATGTTCTTCGAATCGAACATTTGCTGCGCCAATTCTGGAACGGAGAGTGCACGATATTGTTGCGAGCCGCGGGATGTTAGTGGAGCAAAGCCGGTGATGAAGAAATGCAAACGAGGGAATGGAACCATGTTGACTGCCAATTTTCGGAGGTCAGCATTCAGTTGGCCGGGGAAACGCAGACTGGCAAATCGAATACAGAAAAGAAAGTTGTACAATTAAATTGTTGAGATAACAAATTTTCACGACACATCATGTTTAATTCCTCAGTTTTTAGTGAATGAGTAAAATGTGTGGAAAAACTAAAAATTCGTACTAACCAAGTGGTGACTCCCGACATCGTAGCTGATACAAGATGATTCAAGTCTCCGTAGGTTGGTGTGGTCAGTTTCAATGTTCGGTAGCAAATATCATACAGCGCTTCGTTATCGATGCAGAAACATTCATCGGTGTTTTCAACGAGCTGGTGGACGCTCAATGTGGCATTGTATGGTTCAACAACTGTGTCTGAGACCTTCGGTGATGGTACAATTGAGAATGTCATCATGATTCTGTCGGGATATTCTTCACGAATCTTTGAGATCAGCAATGTTCCCATGCCAGATCCGGTGCCGCCGCCAATCGAATGTGTGAATTGGAAGCCCTATTTAAAAATTAAATTTAAATTAAAATCAAAAGTTTCCGACCAATTTGCAAATCATCAATCTCCTGATGGCAATGTGTACTTTGACAATTATTTTCAATCAACGTTTCTTCGAATTGATTGATCAAAGTAAACGATCTGATTAATTTTGGCATCGAATTTTTATGCGGAAAATTCTCAATTTTCACACATTTTTATGGTTTTTTTTTCTAAATTGTTGCAAAAAATGTTACCTGCAAGCAATCGCAGCCTTCAGCCTCTTTGCGCACAACGTCAAGCACTGAATCGACCAATTCAGCACCTTCTGTGTAATGGCCTTTCGCCCAATTGTTTCCAGCACCTGATTGGCCGAACACGAAATTATCGGGCCGGAAAATTTGACCGAATGGTCCGCTCCGCACTGAGTCCATTGTACCTGGTTCCAGATCGATCAGAACCGCTCTGGGCACGTATTTTCCTCCAGTCGCTTCGTTGTAATACACATTAATGCGTTCCAATTGCAAGTCAGAATCGCCATAATATGTGCCGGTAGCATCAATGGAATGCTCGTCCGAAATTACTTCCCAAAATTTAGCGCCGATTTGATTTCCGCACTGGCCAGCTTGCAGATGAACAATTTCACGCATGTCAAAATTTAAAGAATATTTTTTTCAAAATGTAAAAAAAAAACAAATTTCGAAGTTGTGTAAGCTAAGTGTTTAGCGTTTAAAGGATTAGCTGTAAATGAAAAAAATTGCTTCGAAATGCTTTGATTTAGTTGAGAAATATGACAAGCAAGGCCAACTCAATCGTTGAAAAATATTAAGACTGTAGGGAAAAAATTCGGTTACCACTAACAACGATCAGCAAAGCATCGATCAATAAATCACTTTTGTATTTCAAATGTTGACTGTTTGTCAAACAAGAAGCAACGGCGATTCGATTGCGACAATCAAGTATCTCATATTGCATTATCGAAATTGACTGTTTTTTTTGTCCAATTATATTCCGTTTATTCGTCAAATAAAAACACTGAACAAGGACGACAAAAAATTGCCATTGTCGATTTATATTCAATTGTAATGATTTCTCCGATGTTACAGCAATGAAATAAAATTTTATTACAAACCACACATCTAGTTTTATGCGGCTTTGGAACATTGCGCTTCAAACAATTGAATTCATGTTTTCCTTTTTCCATTTTTGAATCACGCGAATTATTTTTTAGTTTTCACCGTAAAATACTGAAACAATGTAAATCTGTGTTGTTGAAAGAGCACTGAACGTATGCACTCGTTGCGTTTAGATCATCGGTTAACAGTTTGGTTAGAGGTAACTTTGACAGTTCCTTACAGCAACACCATTTAAGATACTGTTCAATACCATTCACTTTACTTGAGAAAACAATGTATGCGTATGGCACCAATTTTTATTACTGATTAAAAAAAATCATTATTTTCAATAAGTTTCGAGTTGGTATTACATATCTATGTTGAATTAGTACTGTACTAATTTCGTTGGCTCTGGAATGAATCAACGAAACGATTGACGTATGCGGCCACCACCACCGCTGCTGACGTATTAACGATAAAATGTATTTTGCTGAGTTGCACATTTGTATACAGTCGACGTTCGCCATTTCTGTTGATCCATTCCAATAGTCTGGTAAGAATATTCACAATAATTTCAAACAAATTCAATTTTCAAGACGGAAATATTGTGTAAGAGTATTAATTGTTGATCATTTGTCGCAATCCATAAACCTGTTGTTCATCGTTAAATTTTCAGATTCATTATATGTGTTTTATCTCCTGAAATCACTTGTTGCTTACGTTGCGCGTCGAAATTGGCTAGCATAATCCCATTTCGATTTTTGATTCCACTATCAAGAAGTTCAAGTAGCAATTTGAAAAGATAAACGGTAAATAATTGAAAATATTTCTTCCGCAATTTGATTATGTTAAAAAATGTTCTCTGAGATTTCCCGTCTTCCATGAGTCAAAAAGAATTGCGAATTAATAAACAAAATATCCAAATCGTCGCCATTTTGTATTCGAGATGGAAATATTTTCATATGTGTTTTTTTTTACATTTTATTCTGCTAAATATTCAAAGGGTTTTTTTCCTCGATTTTTCTTGCTTCAGTTCATCATGGGTGCCAATCAAAGTGCTGCGCCGAAGCGTATGACTTGCAGCAGCGTTTCAGACTTGCTAAGCAGTTTGAAACGTAACGGCACTACGTCCGAGAATATTGTGTTGGCTAAAATGAAATTTGACAAGCCGATTGCGAATCTGCCAGTTTTGCCGGGCGTTTTGAAGGTCTCGTTTTTGGACTCGGTCATCAAAAATGATAGCATTTTGCAATTCAATCAATGGTGTCCAAATGTTGCCGAACTGGCGTTTATTCGTGTGAAATTTTCGGAACGTGCTTATGAGAATTTCACCAACGGTGGTAATACATTGCCAACGGTCAAAAGCCTGACGTTTCACTTCAAATACGACATGGAAGGATTCGGTTATTTCATCCAGGAAATGGATGAGAAGCTGCCATCGCTGGAAAATCTGGCATTGATCTTGGTTGCGGCTGATTCCGATGAATATGAACCAATGTGGGATGATGAACAGCCGTATGAACCGATTTACTTCAAAAATCTGAAGAAACTATCACTAATCGCATTTGGTGATGAAGGTGATCGTGTTTTTGATTACATGGACATTTCCAATGAAAAACTGGAAGAGCTGTCGTTCACTGCAATGGGGTTCACCAAAGACAACCTAAAATGGATCAAATGCTGCGAACAGTTGAACAAATTAACCCTTGGTTGTCCAAGCCTTGAAGGAAACGACCTAAAACTGTTGAAAGGCATGAAAAGTCTGAAAGAGCTCCATCTGGAGATCGGTTCGATTGAATGGACTCCCAAGAAAATGATCGAGATCATGCGGAACAACGGACAACTCAAGTTGCTTTCCATTGAATGTGAACGCAACAATAAACAGCTAACGTTTGATGATGAATTCAAGAAGCTGTTCGATGCATTGGTTCAAAAGCGTGGCGATGCGACGATTAAAGTGACGTTCGGTAGTGGTAAATCCATGCGACAAATGACAATTTCGGAAGAAGGCTTTGATGAAACGACACCACTGGTTGAAGCTGAATCGGACGATGAAGAATTCTACTTTGAAACTGAGGATGGTTCGTCGTCGAATGATATTGATAGCGATTCGTCAAGTGAAGAAGAAGAGGAAAATGAGCATTGAGACCAAATGGGAAAAAAAAACATTTGCGTTTTTTAAATGCATCCGTATCCAATTTTTAAGGCTTAACATTCTCGAATATATAACGGAAGTTGAAAAATCTTCGAATTTAGCAAAATATCGTATCGATACGATATGTTTTAGATTAGTTTATGCTGAATTCAATTGCTTTTTTCTTATTATTTCTTTAAATCATTCATTAGTTCTTGAAAATTCTCCTACAAAGTATTCAAAATATCGTTTCCAAACGATATATTTTATATTATATCATGCGAAATGCAATTATTTTTTTATAATATTTCTTGAAATACCTTCATAAGTTTTTGAACGTTGTTCTCCAATTTATTCAATGGTTAATAAAGAACAGTTCATACAGAAACTAATTTTTATCAATCAAAACAAACGAACAAAACCAGGGTTTGAAAATTAATACAAACACAAACACAAACACTTCAGATAAGGGGTTTGTACAATGTATATGCAAAATATTCTTATGGCCCACTGTTCAGCATGGAATAGCTTTCATGGATTGCCAGGTTGGTATAGTTGAAGATGTTTCGAATGATTCTCAAAATGAAACGTTCAGAGTCAATAGAAGCAGCATAGACAAAGGGTTATATGACATGAAGTCGGCTTTACAGAAAAAAAATTGAACCGCAGCATTGTTTTATTGACGTTGTTTTGCGTTTTGCTTTTTTATTTTTAGGGATAAACAAACTTAAATCTAATCTGACGAATGTCAAATTGGTAAAATCATTCGAAACTAACAGCCTATTCTAATCTTAGTTCAACAGTTGAGAGATACGTTCGATGTTGTTGGCATAAACGGAATGACATGGGATGAGATTTCTGTCTTGAAGTGCCTCGTATAAATCTTTCATAGTGACGCGTCCGTTGACAGGCGTTTGATGGCCATTTTCACACGCGGCCAAAAAGAACGAATCATCGTTTGTGCGGTGCAAAAGACTGGTCGAAGACACTTCTCTATCAACTTCGAATGGATGATCATCATTAATCTGTCTGGTCGCTGTATTTCGTGTGTACGGGTCTTTGTACGCACAACCAACATCATAAAAGAATCGCCCAAAATTTGTGCTACGATAATTTTTCCGTGATTTTATAATTGCCGTTAAAATATTCTTCAGCAAAATCTGGATCAACGAAAAAACGAAATGATAATTTTAATGAATTCAACTGTTTATAAAAATTTGATCGAATGAATGCATTTACCTGCACGGCCATAACGAGCATTTCGCAAATGTCATCATCAGCGTTGGTCAGCCCATTTTCCCATGCAACGACCAAAAGTCTTCCGAGAATCAGTCCGGTGTCTGGTAGGAAGAGCTCTTCAACAGCGAATCTCGGTTGATGCAATGGTGTACTTGGTGCCTTTATTTCCTCATTCTCTTCCGGCAAATAGTCAAATAAATCAATCGGCTCGAAGATTGAACGCTCGCTGCCGGTTCGACGCTTTCGTTTCTTTCCACTGATATTTTTGGACGCTTGATCTGATTGCACTGGCAATGTTATTTTGTTCAAAATTGCCAGAAAAAACTCATTATGCAAATGTCTTTGATCCGGCATGAGCAGTTTGCGGCATTCAAAGTCGAATTGCTCCTTTGTCCACACTTTCCGGAACCACAATTTCAAATTTGAAAAATATGTCTTCATCGATGTATCGCCCAATGCCACACACAGCCGCATTTTCGCCGTTAATAATCGCTCATCGAAATTGGACATTTTTTTTTGCTTATTTCGTTCGTTGAAAATTGATTTTTGATTGTTGAACAATTTTGTTTGGGTCAAAGAATTCAGAAACAATGAGTTCGGTTTGACAGCGAGAATGTCATTCCATTTGTTGTATGGAAATGTCAAGTTTGGAACAGAATACGGACACCAGGTGGCGCAGGCATAGGTTTTTTAAATGCAAAATGAAAAAATAATAACAAATAAAACATTATTATTGAAAAATTTAATTCATTTTAATTTTTTTATGTTTTTTTTATATTCTAGATAAAAAAATATTCCATGTCATTACAAAATTCCATGTTTCAGCCACCAACCAATTGATACAACAAAAAGGCACAAAGTATTTTATTACTTGAGGTTTGAATCTCTTAAAGTTTGGCGAAAATTGGCTTCTCTCCTTTTGTTGCTTGTGCTATACATGCCGCCACAAAATCTTCTCCTTGCAAATTCAAGCGGTTTATTTCACGCTAGAAACGAATACGTTTAAATTAGTCATGAATCATCCATACGGTTTTGTTATTGCATGGCCATAACAAGAAACCGAAACATTCAAAACTCACAATTTGATCGAGTCCCTCTTGATTTGTGTGCTCAAGTGAATAAACTAGATTCTTCTTCGTTGCTTGTACTGCGACTGGACTTTTAATTGCGATTTCTTCTGCTAGTTTGATTGATTCTTTAATCAGCTCATCTCTGCTACTGAATGTCTACAAGGAACACAAACATTTGTTAGCGCAAAAGACTTTTTGTGTTATTCAAAACTTGTTATTTTGAAGTTGGTCATTAAAGATACTTCATGTTATTGATGGGAATGAAATTGAAAATTGAAAGAAAATGATTTGAATGTGACTCCATGAAAATGACCAAATTCCACTTCAAATTCCGTTTCAAACCTACTAACCCGGCTCACGAAACCAAATGACAGCGCCTCTTTGCTATCGAATTTCCGACCAGTGAAACAGAGTTCACGAACTAAACTCTGATTTCCAACCACTTTACCCATGCGTTGTAAGGCACCGACATCGGCAGCCAAACCAAGGTCTATCTCTTTAACCGTAAACCAGGCATCGTCTGTGCAGTAGCGAATGTCTGCAGCCGTAACTAAGCTGGCACCAGCTCCGATGCACGCCGAATGAATGGCAGCGATGACAGGTTTCGTACAAACTTCCAGTGAAGAGATGGCATCCTTATTAAAACCAACAAAAAGAATTATAAAACGAACGTTGAGAGTGAGTTCATAGGAAATATTCTGCTTTTTTTCGAAATACCTGATAGGCTTTAATTTTCTTCTCCAAAAAGTGGCCTTTTCGTGCTGAATCTTCGATGTCAGCTAGTTGTTGTGCCCATGTTAATGATTCCTTCAAATCCAATCCGGCTGTAAAGTATTTTCCAGCACCGGATAAAACAATCGCTCGACAATCGGGATTCTCACTCAATGCATCGAAACAAGACTTCAGTTCACTAGCAAACCAAGTATATAGAAAGTTTAGAACACAAAGAAATAAAAAAGTGAATAAAATTTACTACGTAATTTCAGTATTTATCGAAAAAAAACTCACGTCCACAAAGCATTGCTGAATGCATTAAATTTGTCTGGTCGATTGAGTTCAACTCGAGTAACGAAATTTGACGGCTGTGTCACTGCCAAGGTTTCATAAGCTGTCCCACTCATTGCACGCACTGAAAATAGAACAAAGAAATCTCAATCAGATGTGACTTCTATATTTTTCCACTGTATTCACAACAAATTACCAAAATTGGTCTTAATTGCTGAATTAAAACCGGATTTTGCAACAGTTTTCAACATTTTCTTCCCGAAATATAATAAAAAATTCTAATTTGAACTGCTGCGAGATATGTGTTTGCGATGAGATAAATGAAGACAAGAGGAATACTTTCACTGTTTATAAGTCAAAGTCCATACGTTCATAACAAACCGGCGACAAGTGAGAAAAAACATCTCAACAAATTGTCATTGTGCAAAGATCGCACTGAAGTTTGTAAACACTTGAGTGCTGTTAACGCGACGTTGATGTGCGTTTTAAACGAAGCAAACAGTTGTATGTATCTAATTGTAGTTTTGACAGTTCGGAAATAAAGGAAAAATAATTTGCAGTGTGTTAATCTCTCGTCACAACGAAATTCATTCAGGTGCTTAGAACAATCGATCTCTGAAATATTTACATAATTTAAGTGATTCGGTACGACACGATTTGAATCGAAATGGAGGTAACGTTTGCCAAATGTTTTGGAGATTTGACCAAAATGAATGAATTTCTTTGTATTTCACCGCAGATCGACGATATCCCACGGCTGCCTGTTAACACAGAGACCCACAAATTTAACGATTGGATTATTGTTTATCACAAGTCCCACATATTGAAAAGTATGTGCCCAAATAATCATAAGTGTATCAAAGATGATGATTCTGGCAACTGTTGCGAACTGTGCTTGTGAGTGATTCAATGAAACATCTTTGGTTTTTATTTCGCAAATTGTTGATACGGTGATTTTATTGCAATATTATAGCTATGAACATACATTGGAATTGCCACACTTACCGGAGATGGTGTTTTCTAAGAACAAACTCACATTAACTCATAAAAATGGTGCCAAAATCGAATTTAATCCGTTGGATGCATTGGCGAGAGTGGCAAATCGAGGTAAATCAACGATTCGTGTGGCTTGTGCCGAAGAATGGAAAAGTAGCCGCGGCGAATCGGCCAATCTGCAAGAAGTCAAACCATTCGATTGGAGCTTCACAACCGACTACGAGGGTACATTCAATGAAAAAATTCGATGCGAAGACACTGACGCCAAACTTGATATTTTCAAATTGATGCGAAAGGAACACATTCTCTTCTATCACGATCTCAGCTTGTTTGAGGATGAACTACACGACCATGGCATCGCTTCATGCTCCGTTAAAATTGTAAGTTAATCGATGAACGTCTGAAATTTGTACATAAAATTGCAATTTTCATGACATTTATACTAACTGTAAACTTGTTATTCCATCTAGCGTGTGATGCCATCCGGATTTTTCATATTGCTGTCATACTTTCTGCGAGTTGACGGTGTACTGATTCGAATGAACGGCACCAGATTTCATTATGAAACGGGAAACGACTACATTCTGAAGGAGTACACATCAAGAGAAGCCAAATTTGAAACCATCAAACATGTGAGTATCAATCAAACCAATCAAACATCATTATCAAATGAAATTAACGCTTTTGCTCTCGGTTATTTCCACAGATCCCACCAGCGGTCTATACAACACCAAGTGAAATCGAAAAACATTTATCAATCACTCTTAAGAAAACGCAAAAGATGTTCTTCGATTAGATCGATTCAAGTTGAATTGTATTCCATTATCATTATTGAAACAAGCTGGATTTTTAAATGAATTAAAGCTCATAACATTTAGATGGAGTATTTGAATTGAGTTTATTTCATTATCAAAAAAGAAATGTGGCAAGCCCCGCCGAAAAAGTAGACTGAATGATTCAAAAGCATAATAAAATTAGTAGAAAGCCTCTTGTTAGTTCGCAATTTTCATGCACCACCGATTAAAGCACACAAAGCCCGTTTGTAATCGCCAGATGTTTCACTCTGAAAACAAGCAAAAAGGAGAAAATGCATGTATTAATCAGACAATTAAAGACAGTTTCAAATGCCCAAAAAAATACTATTTTTTTTCAAAGGTCATTCAATTTCAATGAATTTTTTTCTTCTAAACTGTAACATTTCCATGGAATTATTGAGTTTCCAAATGAGTTTCGACGGCCTTATGCATCGTGCGAGTCTCACGAGTCAATACGAAAATGTGGGCATATAAGTTTGCGAGTCACTATTTCTTCAGAAAAAATTCTCGCGTTGATTTGTTAAGAATACGCTGTATTTTCTGTAGTTGGACTCACGAGCCAATTTGTATGAATTTGTGCGAATCAGTACTGACTTCCGATAACAAATAAGCCCCTCGATGAGTTTCAATGAATACGCCCTCCAACTAACCTTCACAGCGCTCAACAGTGTACGATCGTACTGTCTCTCGAATTCCCTCTTGATATCATTCAAGTCAATTTCGGAGCGTGACACAATGATGCGAATTAATGTTGAGTCATCCGTTCCCATACCCTTCATAGCGCGATATAAGCAAGTGGCAAAGAAATCGGCTGGCGATTGAACGCATTCCACTGGAAAATCCAACAATAACAAATCGTTTAGTACTTGATTCTCTATCAAAATGTCAATTGTTCAAAACTTCAAACTTACCAATGGCTTGCATAGCTTCAGCCAATTCGCCGCTCATCTCGTGCTTGATGGCCTGTTCAATGGATTGACCGGACAATTGTTTGTATTCCTCGAAAACGAGTCTGAGTTGTTCAAAGCTGCCATGAGCCATGATTCGATTGAAGACTTCTTCATCGGTGCCCAGCTTCGATTCACCTGCCGCATACAATTTCGCCGCTTGTTCTTTGGCCATTGCTGGATCAATTGTACCGCTTTCATCCCGAACACCAGTCACAATCAATGTGAGCAATCGGCGAAAATGGCCTGACGTTTCGCTGCACATATGCTCAGCCAATGGGCGATCATACAAATCTTCGTATGTCTTCACAATTTGTTTGATTTCCTCATTGGTTTTCGTGCACAAAATTTCCACCAATGCCGATTCATTGGTTCCGACGCCACTCATAGCCTTATGAATCTCTTTGCACAAGTAATTAACTGGTGGATACATCAATGCAATAATAACATCTTCGAATATTCCACCAAGTTCACTCTTCAAATCTTCAATCAAATCGCGTCCATACTCAGCCAGAAAATATTTGGCAATCTCTTGACGCTGTGCATTTGACCGAGCTGTCAAAATATCGATGATGGATTGTTCATCGGTTCCGAAACCCTTCATTGCTGCACGTAAAGCATCTCCATCTTCAGAGGCTTTGAAATTTGCATACGGAACAACGGTCGGTGATGGCTTGATTTTTAAACGATTCGAATTTATTAATTGTTTTAGTTGATGCGAGAAAGAAAAAAAACTTACCATTCTGTTTTCTGACGTGTCGTTTTGATGAATAAGTGACCAATTACTCGTTTGACTTCTTTCACTGCTCAATTCTCGTGAATGAATATATGTCAATGTGAGTCAGCGCTAATAATATACAAATTGTATCTGAATAGATACAAAAGAAATCTCATGTATACACGAAAATCTGTCTATATTTTAACTAGATAGATGTGTGCGAGACCGCAACTCAAGCAGCAAGCGTTTTACATAAACAATATATGTATATAGCGATGATCATCGCTGCTGTGGCCAAATGATGGACAATCACAAATGCAAATCAACTCAAAGGAAGCATTTGCCGGTGCTTCAATGTAGATAGATCATGCTTTGAATGGAAACAAAAATCGAATGCGGCAAAATCATATGACGTAATGAATGTATTAACAAACTGATTGTTATCGTAGAACGGGTTTGTTTATAGATCGTTTTTGATTGACCTTTTTTACTGTCTTTTTTCGTCTCCTTGGACTTTCGATACTGGAAATTTGCTCTTAAGCAAGTCTATTCTTAGCGAGAAAATATTCCATAACAAAACAGTTCAACCAAAAGCAGTTTTGTTCTAATAAGAAGCAGTCAAATTTGAATTCGCGCCAAAGTGCAAGTGTATCATTTGTTGAACATTCTTCGATTTCTGGAAATAAAATTGGTAAAATATTACAAACTAATTTTTACATGATAAAAATGCTGTTTGGTGTCTTTGTTCCAAAATTAAATATAGTATTCTAAAAATAATCCAGGTTAGTATATGTATCATACATAGGTCGTTTGGTATTGACTGTGAAAATATCAAATGTTCTCCTTCGCAAATGTTCGCAGACAAGAGAGAAAGACGTCTGCTGTAAATACGTTACTGTGCATAAGAATGCGTCAAAAGCCGTGCTTCGGAGCGATGGAGCATCCAGTGGAAGCCGAAAATAACGCATCCAATACATTCGCACATAATGCGCCCAGTCGACGCTCACGCTCCGACTATGTGTACGTGTGTTTGTGTGTGTAAGTGAGTGCGCGCACGAAACGCATGCGCTAACTAGTCGTTGTAGGGAGGTTCATAATATACAGCACATTTGACAGTAGTTTTTGATTTGCTTTTATCCCGTATTTTTGCCGTCTCTTGCATTCCGCGGTGCCGACAGAGACTCACTTTTTTTGTTCAGCTTCTTCTCCACTCTTCGCAATGGTCAGGTCTGTGTGTGTATGGCATCATCGTTGTGCGTGTATTCGTTCATTTGTTTTATGTGAGCCCAATTGCACACAAATACAAGTTTACGGTGGAACGCGAGCACAGTGAGACACAGTCAGTGTATCGGGAGAGAGAAAAAAAACGCAAAACCCGAAAAAAAGTTTTATTGTTGTTTCTTGTGTGTCGAAAGTGTGTTTAAAAAAAGAACCATATTCTAAGTAGAAAAAAGTGCGAAACGAACCAAAAAAAAAAAAATCAACGACCAACCGAAACTCTGGTGAGGAAACGGGCAAATATTGTGTGCAAATTGGTGTGTGCAATGTCAAAATTGGATTGAATTCAGGTGCGTCTTGATTTCAATGCAGCAAACAAAAAATTTATTATTATTTTTCTTCGTAATTAAACGACGAAAAAATGTGCATACATTTTGTTTTTCCTGTTGAACCAAATCGGATCGAATGCAACGTATTTCGCAACCAAATTTTTTTTTGTCGGTTGAATTTTGCAGCGGCGCTAGTAAAACACATACACAGTCCAATTGCATTGTACTCTCGCTTTCTGATGACGGCGCTTTGCAATAGCAATAACAATAACTCAAACGATTGCCCGCTTTTATTGAAGGAACCAAATCAATCTAAATATTTGAATAGTTTTGTTTTTTTCTCTTGATTTGGTTTTTGGCGTTTTATTTTTTTTTCTGTTTTTGTTTTTTTATTTTCTGTTGCGATCGGTCGATGTGAATTTCGTCACCGAATCATTTAGCACAATCTTCAGGTGAAGTGTCGATGGTCGCGGTGTGTTGTTTGTTTCGCTTGAATAATGCTAATTCTGTTGCAATTCGGCGATCGTCTGCCGAAAAAGTGCGTCGAATGAAATGCCTGCGAAACTGGTTGCTCCGCGCTCCAATGCATTAAATCATCTTCGTTCAATAAATTTGTTGTATATTTTTTTTTCTTCTCGAAATCCAAACGAAAAATACACACTATGCCGAAGAGAAGAGAGCGAAAAGTGAAAATTATGAGTACATCAACAAAATAAATAATTTCTTGTTGTTGCTTTGAAGTATTATGAAAAAGAGCGAGCAAACGAGCGAGAAAGAATCGATTGTTGTTGTTGTTATAAGTTTTTTCGTATTGTGCTCCCACAGACGGTATTATAAATGCACGCTATAATATGCTATAGCAGCAGCAACAACACAGCGCGGTGCTATATAAATATTTGTTATATGTCTATATCATTGTGCATACAACATTTTGTATTTTCATATAGTATACCGACTCACCGATTCATTCGATGCTTCGTTCGTTCGTTCGTTCGGCTCGTTCATTTTTTATTATTATTATTCCGTTTATTACATTCTACACACCGAATGCATGTATAAGCCGACGACGACGACGATGAGCGTACAAACATAGAAACATCATCGGTACATTTTTATATGTATAAACATATATTTCTATATATATATCGTACGTATTTACTGATACCGAAAATTCACGTTGGGTTGTTACATGGGCAAAGACGACGACGGCGACAATGGCAAAGAGAGACGAATTTTGTATTTTTGCTTCATTTTCTTGCTGCTCAGCGATCGTTTGGGTCGCAATTGCTGCTGCTGCTGTTGCTCCGTTGATGATGTTGTTGTTGTTGTTGTTGTTGTCGTCGTCGTCGTCGTCGTCATGTTCGCGTATTTCGTCCGTCTTTTATTCGATTACACTTTGTCTATTTTTTTTGCTCAGACCGTCAGATTCGGTCGTCGGAGCTGTGTAAGATATAGAATGAGAAAGAACGAGAGCGAGAACTGACTGCGAATGTATGCATGTGTTAAATTTCTTATTCCATTTTATGCCTTTTTCATTTGTGCTGTGTGTTGATTTTGTATGTGCGTTGTTTTTCTTATTCTGCTTCGATGGTCTTTTTTCTATTCTTTCTTGTTATTTTTTTTTATATTATTGCGTTCTCCGTCTATCAGGCCGTGTTGGATGTGTTATTTTTTTTTTGCTCTTGGTCGTTCTTGATATTTATTTATTTTGTTATGTTTTTTTTTTCGTTGAATTTTGTATGATTCTCGCCAGTGAGTAGTTGTTGTTGTTGCTACTGCCGCTTGTTTTGAGGCCTTTCCATGTAGAGTATGTGAATGGTTTTATACACATTTATTTTTCACAATTTTATTCTTCTGTCGTCGCTGTTATTGGATTTTTTTTTTCGTTCCTTCGTTCTCTCTTTTTCTTCTATGTGTGTATGATTCGTTCATCGCATTTAAATTGCTGTGCGTGCTGTTGGTTTGGTTCCTTGCTTTGAGAATGCGAAAACATGCAGAGAAAGACGGAGAAAATGATGTGTCCTTTCTACCCGAGAACAGCGTAATCCAAAGCCGTTGCTGCTCACACGCACACACAACGGCCTCGAACAAACGACTACTTTGGGGATTTTTCGTGCATTTCTAAGCCTCCATTCTGCTTTTTATCTCATTCTTTGCGACCCGACAACTGTATAATTTCCATCCAGCGTGTATCAAATACTGTAAGAAGTAACAATTCACGATGAACGAAAATGCTTGTGCCGGCCCGATCACAATACGGCCGCCGACTAAGCACGAATCAAGAAGTATAATAATTGTAGGGGCAAGACGAAACACCGCCGAATAAATGTGAATCATTCTATACATCGCGTACTGCTATAGCTGATCAAGAAAAAAAAATCTTTGTTGTTTTCTTCGTTGATTTCAATGAAGCGCGCGCGAAGAAATCTTACATTTGTATGGTACAATTCACTGCACGGTTCTTTTCCATTTGTCCACTTCGCACGGCAAGTAAAACGCGCACGAATGCATGCGTATGTATATGAGTGTCATTGTGTGTGTGTGGATGCGAGAGATGAGAGTTTCTTGATGTTCGTTATTTTTTTCGTTTAACATTTTCGTTCCAAGACTTTGGAATAAGCAAAAGATCAACAACAACAGCAAAAAAAAAATAAACATCGAAAAACGAATTACAACGAATCGAAAGAGACGGAGGAAAACAAATCCCGAAGAGAATCATTATACCTGTGGATAAAGAACAACAACACAGAAGAACGACAACAACAACAACATAAAAAAAAAATTATACATTTTTCGTAAATGTATTTTTAAAAAAAGGCGAACGCAAGAGATAGACAAACAGATTATAAAAAAACCAACTACAACGAAAATGTTATGTACTCGCGCGGTGTATGGACGATCTATCTATATTTGCTGTTGTTTTGTTTTTTCTTCATATACAACTTCTGCGTTGTTTTGCCTCGTTTTTTTTTGTCGTTCGCTCGCTCGCTCGTTGTACACACAAATGTACGCACTCACCAAATCAAAAGGAGCTAACAAGCTCGCTTAGAACACATCACATAACAGTGAACTGAAAAAATAACGACAGAAAGAGAGAGCAAAAGCGAGAGAGAAAGAGAAAGGAACTGAGAAGAAGAAAAATAATCTTCATTATTCCCGTACTGCATTCATTCAAAACGAAAAGATTTACTAATTTTGGATTCATCTACATCATCACAGCGCATTCTTCGTCGTACTCGTTTATTTTTTTTTCATTTTTCTCTTTCGTCGTTTGTTTCTCTATCCGTTTTTAAAATATTTTGTTGTTTGTTTCGTTCGAAAGGCCCAATCTGTGCGGGCATTGAACAGCGTAAAAATGCAGGAAATATCCAGTATTTTAGTGCACAATCTACGGAGTGTATCAAAACGTTTTTCAGTTTATTGAACAGCAAACCAAAAAAAAAGTTTACGAAGATAAAAACAGCACCGAAAAAAATAAAAGAACACACACACACAGAGAGAGAGAGAAAGAAGAAACGATTGCAAACAGCATTTTCTAAAAATATATCGATTGTGTATTATGGAATATTTACAAGTTACCGGGTAACAGTTCGATTGACACGAAGGAGAGCGAAAGGGTGAGTGAGTGAGTCAGTTACTTTGATCGTGTTTACACGAAATTTTTGTGCGCGCCATGATTACGTGCCGAACAACAACGTTGCGCTTCAGAAAAGAGATTTTTCGCGGTCAATGCAATTTGGTCGAGATTTTGAATAGCGAAACACACAAAAGTGACACGCAGAGAGCGAGAAAATATACGTACACACAGAGAGAACGCGGAGAAACAGAGTTAACATTTGCAAGAAGATTGTGCATATGAGTCATTTTATTATTCATTTATGTAAATACCCGACGAACACGAGGATTCTTCTACCTGTGAGAGTGTCGAATTGAACAAATCAAAACGGAGAGAGTGTTTTTTCTTCTTCTTCCCTGTTCAATCTAATCAAGCGCTGCACTTGAAAACATGATTGATGATTACCAGCGGATATGTGTTGGTGCATAAGTTCATGGTGTTTTGTTTATGTGTGATTGACTAGAAATCGGTTTGTTTGCCGAGACGTTCCATTTGTACGAAGTGGAGAAGTGCCATAATACGCAGTGCTCGTAGTTTGTTTTGTTTTTTCCTCTAGATCCAATTCTTCTGTTTTGGCGCTATTCAGTGTATACAATTGTTGTGAGCGTGTATGTGAATTGCTATAAAATTCACTATCGCTGTTTTTCGGTTGTTTTTATTGCCAGTCCGGACCGTTCAATTGTGAGTGCTTTCGTAGTAAATGCAGTGTTATCGAAATGGAAAAAAATTACGCGCCATTGCGTATCATTGAGTTCTCCTTTAGCTGTTCGCCTTTAATTTGATAAACATCCTAAGATACAATTGATAAAACGTAATCTCGTCCATTCATAGCACGCAATTCACACTGAATTGCTGTAACCAATTGAAATTTCAACGTAACGTTTTTTTTAAATTTCTTTGCTAACATTTTATCGTCATTTGAAATACCATTTGTCTGTTTGTGTGTGTGTGGCTCATTTGTGCAAAAATCAAGTGACATTGTGCGCACGATGCTGTGTGTTTTTGTCAGCTTCTTTCGTATGTCAGCTCATGGCGCGGGTGACAAGCTCACCGAACTTTGTCGGAAAAACCGATTAAAATAACAAATTGACGCGCAAACGCTTTGCCCAATGTTTACTTTGGATAATGAAAAATAAACATTTCGCATTCGGCATTCAACTCAATGGCTTCACATTTGTGGTTGATCGGAAGAATTTTGTTTTTTTTTGCTCTCTGTTCGTTCGTTCGACGAATTTTCCATGGCATCTTTTGACTGGCGCACAGTGTGTTTTTGTCGCCCAGCATATTCAGCATCATGAGAATTTTCCAAAAATTGAGCTAAAATATGAGTGTTTTACCTCTGCATTACGCGACAACTTTTTTTCATGGTGGATGCTACTTTCACAATTCCATAAAACCATTTCATTTCATTTGAAAATTTTGTTTACTTGAAATAAGAAAAAAAAATCCATAAAATTTACGAATAACCGTCCTCTTTTACTTTAACATACAGTTTGACTGAGCCAGAAATAAACCATTGATATTACTACGGACATTTGAAACATTTATTGCACCAAAACCGACAAGATGCAGGCAGTCGTTGGTGATGGACGGAAGGGTGACGCAGCGGTGAGTCTCAAATAAATTTCTCCATTTTTATTTAACATCATATTTTAATCAAATGCAGAATTTCTTTCAGCTTGCGTACGAACTGGAGAAATCATTGCAAAATGTTGAGGTGAGCTCATTTTTCTTCCATGGCTTTGTTTAAATTTTATTTGTTAGCACATTCATCGGTTAGAAGAACACAAATATTTGGCATTAATGTATTCGCATTTGTATTTTGCAGCAGCAAGAGCAATTGATGTACGGTGAAGAGGGAACATGCACATTGTGCTCGAAAACATTTGCCAGAAAATCATCGTTATTGACACACATTCGAAATCACACAGCTGAACGAAAATACCAGTGTCCAACATGTCAAAAAAGTACAACAACAACAACAAAAATCAATACTTTTGTCTCGAAAGTACAAATTAAAAATCGATTGATAACCAATTTTTGTTCTCCTCCCATAGCATTCACACAGGCGGCTAATCTACGGAATCACGAACGAATCCATTCACAAGTGCGTCCGTATGTGTGCGGTGATTGTGGAAAAGCATTTACACAAATCACAAATTTGAATGTGAGTATTCGAGGCATTCTGTCTGTTCGGGGCGGCAGTTGGATAAGATGCGGTTCATTAGATATTCAAATCAATTTTCAGTGGAATTTTTCATCAAAATTCGTTATGAATTAATAATTTCATTTATTTTCCGTAGAATCATCGTCGGCTACATACAGGAGAGAGGCCGTTCGTGTGCATTGAACCAGAGTGTGGCCGATCTTTTGCACAAGTAAGTCGGCTGAATTGATGCAAATGAAGCGGAATTCTGAAATGAATTTCTCGATTTTTTCCCCGTCGTTTAGGTTACTAATTTAAACAACCACATGAAATCGCACCATAAAATCCAACAATACCTTTGCAATCAGTGTCCGCGTCGTTTTACGCAGGTGACATCGTTGAATCAGCATCTGCTGCTGCACAGCGGTTTCAGTGGACTGGTCTGCCCGCAATGCCCCGACAAAACGTTCAAGCAACAGAATCAGCTGCAGCAGCACATGAAAACCCATGGTTTAACATTTCCATTTGAATGCACGAAATGTGATGAGAAATTCTTGCAAGCGGCTCATTTCAATCAACACTTGGCCCTGCACGAGGAATTCAAGTTTCGTTGTACCATGTGCTCGAGCAGTTTCAATCAAGAGGCATTGCTGAAGAAACACATGCAGCGACACATCGATGGTCGTTATCATCAATGTCCCGAATGCTCCAAAGGATTCACCCTAAAGAATCAACTGAACAAGCACATCCAACTCGAACATGCAAGCAGTGAAGCGGCTCGTTTGCTGAACAAAAAACGCACCTCAACAATTGCCGGCAAATTCAATTGCTATTTCGACAATTGTGATGCTTACTTTGAGTCGAATGACTTGCTGAACACGCATTTGAACAATGTACACGGATTGGCGTTGATCAAAAGTCAGAATGCTGGCACAGCCAATACGGGTGGTGGTGGTGGCGGCGGAGGTGGAGGCCGAAGCAAAAAGAATAAGGGAGATCCACATGCGCACTCAATGTTCACGGAGCAGCTAAAGAATATCAAGGAAGAAGAACCACACCACCATCATGCTCACCAACAACAGGTACCACTATCGTTGCCCCTTGGAATTTCGTTACCATTACCGCCATTCATGAACGGCAATGGTTCGTTACAGGCACAAACACAGCATATGCCACAACAAATGAACGTCATGCTACAACATGCTCATCAACAAGTCCAACAGCACATCCAACAACAGCAACAGCAGCAACAACAACAACAACAGCAACAGCAACAGCATCATCATCCGCAAAACCATGCCCATGCCATAAACATATCGAAAGAGAAAAACAAGTGCCACGAATGTAATATTATCTATTCAAATGATACCGACTACAAAGTTCACATGTACTACAAACATTTCACAAATGCCAATAAAATGTAAAGCAAATGGATTTGTTTGGTCGGCATCGTCGTCGTCGCCGTCGTCGCGTCGTCGCGCAAGCTCGACACACTCTCTCTCTTTCGATATTCTATCGATTGGCATTTTGATCGGCCAACCGATTGCCAATGGGAATATACCGTTTTACACACTTCTATTTCGAAGCATCATTTCTATTTTCTAACGGTCTCTCTCACTCGACGAAGTGAACCATTTTCTTTGCAGTTGTTTTTTTTTATTCTCCAGTGATTACATACACGAAACAATATTTATGTTTCGATCGACATCGGTGAACAGAAGAAGAAATATGCCGCTAAACGAATTTATTTTATTTTGTGATCTCCTCAAAATTTCTCGAAGCCAATTTCATTGGCACCAGTTATTATATTTACTTCGAATAGCATAGCTTCCAAAAACAAAAACAAAATTGGGAGATTTTGGAATTTATTTTTAAAAAAACACATTTGGTTCAAAATTGTCACAACAATTTTTTTACCTGGCATTTCAACTTCTGTTCTCCAAGTCACACATATGCAAACCTACAAAACGATTACAATAGCTATACAAAAACTCTTTTTCTGAAGCAACAAATTCAAATTGGTTTAAATGAGAAAATATAAAAACAAAAAACCATTTAATTTGATAATTAAAAACAATGTAAAAGTGGACAAAACAAACGACTAGTACCAGATATATTGAATAACAACGTCAACATAAAACGGTAAATCTATCGAATTAGGTTATATTTTGAACAACAAAAAAATACTATGAAAATGATAATGAATTTTATCATTTGAACACTTGATATTGTGTGCAAAACTACTATCTAAAAAAAATGGTTGGAAACAAATAACAAGAAAAAATGATAAGAAATTGTGTGACTCAACACATTTTGTTAAGAAAGAGAAGGAAAAAGGACTGAAGTAAAATTGATGAACAAAAAATGAGAATTCACTGGTGAATGACAATGATTTCTGGATGAATAAAGATTAGATAGTTTTGCACAGAGACAACCGATTATAAACAAAATGAAGAGAATAAACTAAGATGAAATTTTATAATTGATCTAGCCATTAATGGAAATTCATGTGCACATTTAGAGAAAAAGTCGCAAAGTATAAGCAAGAACAAGAAAAAAACTAAACAAAATCTATTTTATTTTTCTCTTGGAATTCGGGTCATTTTCTGTATGTGGGTATTTCAATGTATATAAATAAAAAACAAACAGAACCTGCGCCAAAAAAACAAAAAGAACGGGAGAAATTTATACTGATGAAGAACTACGTGATTTAGTGTTGTCTTAGTTTGTCATCAGAAGAAAAATTCTATTATAAAAAAAAAAAACTTGAGAAGGCAGCGAAACATTTTTTTTGTTTTTTTTTTAAATATTTTTTTAAATCTGTACCAACAAAAAAAAATCAACAACATACTTGATTTTATTAAAATCTGAAAGAACATTAATTCCTTAAGCCTATTTACTTCCATACCATTTAAAGGGAAAAGCAACATGAGTGAAAAATTTCAACAACCGATTTATAAATGCTTTTGCAAAACCATAAACATTAAGAAGAAGAGAAAGAAAAAGAAAGTAACAAATCATCGATACACATATTATACAAGAAAACAAAACAAAAAACAAAAAACATCAACATTAATTTTGTAAAAAAGGTGAAGAATCGGATATTGATAATTTTTTATACATCGCTTTTTTTGTTTGTCGAATTTATTTTATTTTTTTCAATTTTGATTTGAAAGTTTCGAACATTTTTACATTTTACTCATTTGAAAAAATTCTATTTTTATTGTAAACGATTTTATTTTTATCTCCTCAAACAAAACACAAACAAAATTAAATTGCTTTTATATATTAGAAAGTCGCAAGTGAATAAAGAAAAAAATAAATAAACAAAAAATTATTATTGGATTTCAAATGATGAAAACACACAAATTCAAAATTAGTTTAGCGATAGCAATTCAAGAAAATTTAAAAATTACTATTATTGATATTGATGATGATAATTACAATAAAAACCAGCAAACAAAATCGTAATAAAACAGTCCTCTGTGTTTCGTGTTATAATTGGTAGTTGAGTCACAACATTTGTTTTTTTTTTTTTGCAAAATTTTCGGTTAAAATGATCGAGACAAAATATAATTGGGATTTCCTATTGAGCATTCAACATCCGAAATTGGGTAGACAGTTTTAAATTTGGCTTCGCCCAAAAATTGATTCTTTTGACAAAATATTTTGTTTAGCAAATGAACAATTGAATTCTAAAAAAAACTCATGCTGATTATTAATAGCATTCCAAAAATGTTGCACCGAGTGCCTCTATGAAAGAATGAGCGAAACACATGCGACAATATGGCTAACGATTGTTCGTTGTAACATCTAATGTCTGAGTATTCGAAGGAGATGTAAGAATTACGATTGTGTTAAATTGGTGTTAATTTGTATGTGTGCCGTGTAAGCAATTAGGTACAAACAATGAGAGCAGTAGACACACAAAGCGAATGAACGAGCGAGCGAGCGAATGAGTAAGCCTAACTGATACCAAATAGAATGTGAATACGAGGTGACGCATTGTTGCTAATGATCTGAAAGTGATAAGAAAAACGAATCAATGCGTCAGTCGGTGTGTGTATACCGTTAGCTGTGCTTTCTATGGAACTTTCCGCTCTCCCTTCGTAGTGAGTCACACAGCAATAATCTCAGTAGCAGTCACAGTCTAAAATCAACACTCAAGACAAACAGTCATTCAAACACATTCGAAACTATTTCGTTTTTTTTTCTATTCGACGAAACTAAAAGTTGACTAGTTTTTATTGCAATATTACTATCTGAATTGGTGTTAAGTTTTTTGTCCCCCGATTTTTGTATAGTGTTGTTAAATTTTACAAACAGTTTTTCTTTATAAAATCTGCGATTGTTTCTGATCGTTCGAAGAATGAGTCCATTGGCACCGCAAATGAACGGTATTCAAACATTCAACCATCGCACCGACACCCAGCACAGCCTAGTCGATCCGACTTTGTCGAACAACGAGCAAAAATTCGTATATTCATTGGGTGCTTTGTACGGGATGCGTCACAGTCAAAGTCGAGTGCCAAATTTGAGTAATCGTAATATGCTCTCATCGATTAGCCGACCGGATGCTGTTCCCAGTACGAGCTTTCCGAACATGTTCAGCTTTAACGTGATGTCATCGGCTTTGGGCCAAATACACGGTGGTCGTCGCACACACAATCACTATCAGTCGGCACCACGACTTAACCAAAATCGTCACAATGGTGGACACACGAATAACGGCGCCATGAACGGTGACCGGCAAAGGCAACCAAATCGAGGTAAGACGTCGCGCATGACTTGATACTTTTATCCATCCAGAGATTTGAGGTTATGTTACCCTTAAATTACCGCTTGTCATTTTTTTTCTGTTTCTACCATTAGATAGAGGTCATAGCAACGGTGCACACAGCAGTGTTCAAGTTCGACTATCAATCCGAAATGAAGTGAAATTGAAAGAAGCGGAGAATGCATGGAAACCGACGTTTTTGCAAAAATCCCAACCAAATGACAATGACAACGCTGCCGATCTCTACAAACAGGTGCGTTCAATTTTGAACAAATTGACGGCACAAAATTTCGGTGTGTTGTCACAGCAATTTCAGAACTTGCAAATTGATACCAAGGAAAAATTGGTGGAGGTCATTAATTTGGTGTTCAACAAAGCCGTTAACGAGCCAAATTTCTCGGAAGGATATGCCAAGCTGAGCCAATACCTATCACACTGTTCCAAGCAAATCGATTCATCGTCCACTGAACGTGCATATTTCAAGCGAACGCTTATCAACAAGTGCCAAATCGAATTTGAACAGCATGTGGCCAATAAAAATACCACTGTGGCCGCTCTCGCACCGCTCATGGAAAAATTGCAATCGTACGAAAAGCAGGGCGATTTAAATGGCATTAATGAAATCAAAGCCCAAATTGCGGAAGAAGAATCAACGCTGCGGCGTCGTTTGGTGAGCACCGTCCGTTTCATCGGTGAACTCTACAAATTGGACATGCTGACAACTAATATCATGAATGTGTGCATTAGTACGCTCGTTCGTGAGGCGGCACCAAATCAAGCGAATTCCAATCAGGCCAATGAAAAACTCGAATGCCTCTGCAAATTGTTGACAACTGTTGGCGGAAAATTGGAACGAAAACCATCGGCCAACGATAATTCCGACAAAACCAAAACACAATACCTAGACCTTACTAATTATATGAACCAACTCAAGCGCATCGCTGACAACAAAATTCGCAACTTCAAAGCCAGCACTCGCATCAAGTAAGTTTGTTTTTAACACAATTTCAAGATTCTGTCAGAAAATTGAATTGATTTTTGCTGATGTTTTCGCTGTGTTGCTCATTTTATTATTTACTCATCATATTTTCATTCGTATTTTGTTGTTTTTGCCAGGTTCATGATTATGGACGTCATCGAGCTACGTAACAACAAATGGAAGCCAAAAATTACCATCGCTCAGACACATTTGACAAATGCGTGAATGCAACCGCACACACAACAAGTGATTCTGGAGAGACTGATTTGCTAAAATCTCAACTAATTACGAATTTTAAACAATTAATTTTAATTACATTTACATCATTTTATTATCTATTCCAATCTTATCGAGAGTAAAAATAAATATTGTGAAAATTATGTGAAAAAAAGTTACAAAACTTTCAAAATTTGTTGAGCGTGCAAAAAAAGCATCATATTTTCTTTTTTTTTTTAATATAATTTATATCTGTATATTCGCATGTAAGAAATTGGTGAAATTGTGTACAAAAACGAGTTCCTATCACATTTTGTGAGATGAGTTCATGTGTCAAGACGTGTACATTATACGTAGAAAAAAAAAACTTTATGTATGAAAAAATTCTGAAATAAAAATCAAAACAAATTAAAATGGGAACGAAAAAATGCCGAGGTTTTGTTTTTACGAGTTGGTTGTTTGCATCTTGTCTTCTTGACACAATGATCAAAATTCGCAGAAGGAACAGCAATTTGGCCGTGAGTTAGGTCAAAATGACAAAAGACATTGAAATCTATGGAAAACAGGTAATATGCCCAACGATGATTTCTTTCCTGTGCTACTCATTGATTCGTGTCATTTAAATGACTAGAGTCAAATTTCCAGGAAGATTTTTTTTCGTCCCTATCAATTTGAATGTCAAAAATTACGGTTTCTGAACGAAATTAGGTTCATTTTTTATTAAAAATTTTAATGGACTCATCCCTTCTCTTCCAACCAAACTAAATGAACTATGAAACAAAGCGATGCGAAGAGAATATTTCACTCAAAAAAAAACAACAGAATGCTACAGCACAGTTTTTCTATAGAAAAATCCAATCCAAACAAAAGAATGTGCTTTGACAAATTGATATTTGGCAAAACAGAAACAAAAAACGTACTCAAAATACAGTGTTGGAAGAAAATATTCAGATTTGATGGAGCAATTCATGTTTTCAGAGCCATAAGTAAGCAGAGTCTTTCCGAAAGAGCAAAAAAAAATTAATTGAAGAATGCTCTCTTAACGCGTATAATAATTTGTTGCAGTGACTAATGAAAATTCGACCAAAGTAAGTGCATTAAAATTCATGTGTCGAGTGTAATTTAATTAACCAGATGCGACTTTAGTCGGCTTGGAACGGGACAACAGAACAAACAAATCGAAATGAATCATTAATAATATTTTCCTTCAGGTTTGGAATGGTTCGAGTGTGTACGTTAAAAATAATGCAGTGTGCCGATTTTTAATTTTTACTCCGTGGTCAATTTGGGTGATGTGCTAGTTTTTTTTCCTTTTCAACCGTATAAATGTATGCAACATGACAGTATGAATGCGGTGTTGTGATTGCATTGAATGTGTCGTATTTGAATATTAATAATTAACTGGGACAAGTGGACTAATATTTTATGGGTGAAATTGCCATTAGTGTTGGTTGCAAATATTGTGTTAACGACACTGACGAGGACGAGGGCGCACACATATAATGCGCACGCCGTTCAAAATAAATGTCATGATGCGTTTTATCATATGGATAAAAACGAACGAGAGCTATCTGTGTGACAACAAGGCTCATTTTTAATTTATAATGGTCTAGCGTTGGTGCGACACCGGTAACGCGCACACACACCCTCAAAACATGTGCATGAAGAGCCGAACGAGAAAAAAATCAGACACACACACACCGAACCTCAATGCGAAAGGCAAACACGAAAGCGAGTGAGAAGAGAGTGGCGAGACGAACTGAATTTACCAAATGGACCGATGTTGATGTAAAATGTATTCCAAACTGCATGCATATTTAAAGTTTTATCACTTTTCCGTCGGTGGGTCGGTCAGTCGGTGCGAGTTAGTATGTGTGAGTGTGTGTGTGTTTTTTGGCAACCAACATCCCGGCAGCCACTGTAATAAATGACAAAGATTATTGCATCGTCTGGATTAATGGTATCGGTCATTTCAGTAGGGAAATGTATGTATGTTTGATATGCTGAAATTCACTCACTCACTCTCTCTCTCTTTCTCACTTGCCAAAGCAATTGAAATGAATTTAAAGTAAAAGCTTCATTATTAAGCGCACTTTATACATGACACGACATGGTGCGTTCACTTATCCGTTCGCAAAGAATTATATGTTTTTCCGAATGGATAGCTCAACGATCACAAACAAACATTTCGTTAATGTAAGCGCTAATTACACCATTTAAATATACGGAATGTGTTTTTTTCTCGTATGATAGAGATGGAGAAAAAATGGAAATGAAAATTTTGGTTGGTTGCGCGAGCGCGTTCCAAAATGAATGAAAAAAATAACAGCGCATTGGCTTCAGCTACCGAGAGAGTTGCATTAAGTGCAATTCAGTGTTCAAAATGAAAATTAACTGCAAGCGACGTGTGCGTGAAAAATATAAATTAAAAACGAAAATAAATGTTAGCAACAATGTGTGTCAAGTGGAGCCATTGAGCAAATATAGGTTTATAGTGAGAATCAACGAATGAAAAATTGGATTTGCATAAACTTCCTGTTTACGACATTATTGCTCATTGATTCATTTTCAGTCGTTGCTGTTGCTGCTGTGTTTTTTTTCCAGCTCGGACGCATTCACAAAATCCTCCTGAGCAAACTAATCCCGAAACTAATTCAAAAACTGTTCACCGAATGAACGCCTCTCTTTCGAAAAATTGCAATACGAGTAAATATTGTGAACGGTCTGTTGTTGCATCGCAAAAATTGGAACGACTTCATTGAATCGAAAATTTGGGCGAGTTTTTTTCTTCTCACTGTTTGCTGTTGATGCAACCGATTGGAAGTGGGATGTTGAAATTGGATCGAAGAGAAAATGAGTGAGAATGTGAGAAAATGAATGAATGAGAGAGAGAGAGAGAGAGAGAGAGCGAGAGAGTGTATAAAAAATGAGACCGTATTGAGTATAAGTGACGAGTGGTGCTTTTGGCGCAGAAAGTGAGAGCGAATGCATACAAATATTTTTTCATCAATTTCAGCTTCATTAATTTCGGTAAACGACTTCGACACTTGAAAAATGCGATCGACATCGAGGCGACTACTAGTCCCCATCCAGCCGTACAACGGAAAAAACCAATAAAGCGTTGAGTACCATTAAACACCTTTAAGCTGTATCTTCTTGCTGGCCGCCCATTTAACAAAATACAGTATGCGGTAGCATATTCCATGGAGAGAGAAAAAAAACACCAAACCAGAGAAAAAACAAGAAGAATACATCGATACCAGTCGTAATAGGGAAAAAATGCTTGTGTTACATAAAAATTGGTTATTTGTGAATGGTTCTTTCAACTGGCAATCAAACAGCACTTGATATTTCCGCATTTCTTCACACAATCAGATAAAATGGATGAATCCAAGTACACATTACAACCACCTTCATCATACAATGGATGAAAGGAATGCGGGCGACGACAACAACGACGATAGCACCGATGACAAGTGAATACATGAAAAATCGCTTCCATGAAACGCATAACAGATTTGTACGATTCGGTGCATTTTTTGAACTGTTCTCGTTCGTCGTTCACATTGCGGAATAAAAATTTGCAACACCCTTTCAAATATAATCACACACATTGAGGCAGACTATTAGTTGATGCTATTTACTAACACATCAATTGAAAATAGATTTTATTAGCTCGTTCACAATGTTGGATTACATCTCTCGCAGGCATATTACATTTTCGATTTGGTTGAATTGCTGCCACTCTGCTCACTTTTTTCTCTTCGTTTTTTCGTGTTGTTGGTGGTGCAATATACTCGTTTACAAGATGTGCATTGTTCAAACTATTCAGTAGATTTTTCGAAACAAACAATGATGGTAAGAAGGCAAAACAGTTACCATATCGACATACTTCCATGGCATCAAAATGTACCGTTTATTCTTCTTTTGTTTCTTTCATTTCAATGCAGCCCCAAGAAATGTTTTTCAATTTAGCTGCACATCTTCAAATCTCGATTGATCAAACTGTTTCCTTTCTCGAAATCGTTGATTCAACTTCTTGAGATTTATAACACTGTTTTAAATAAAAATCTGAGTCGAAATCTGTAAATGAACAATGGTGTCAAATCATTCATACGTTAAAAAGACTTCTATATAATCACTTGGATCATATTGCTGAGTTTATTTGCAGGGGATTTGTTGTTTGTTTGTAGTTGATGTTTCTCTTTTTCTTTCTTTCTTTCGCTCTCTTTTCCGCAGTGTATCTGTTTAACTCAACAGCATGATTAACGTTTCAAATCTGTTATTCAGTGGGTTAGTGATTCACTTTTTCATTTGAAATTATTGAAATAAAATCACTCACAAAAACAATATTGAATCCGTGTCGAATCTTTCTTACGTAACGGTGGCTTTGATCTTGTATCATGAGGGATTTTAATTAAAATCGTTCATTTGAATGTCATTAACGTAGTTTCAACAATTCATTCTCCACGGAAGTCGGTTGAAGATGAAAATATATTACGCCAAAGAGAATAATGCAAAACACAAAAACACGAAAAGAAAAAAGTGAATTTCTTGAGAAAAACATGCTATTTACGAATTTGCGATCGGTTTCTGAATGTAAGATGGTGTTTGGAGAAACCGTTCAACAAATGTTCTTCATTTGTCTCATTTTTAGATGATGCTATACGAGAAAAGAGTTCGAAATGGCATGCTGAGAGACATCAAAAACATCCATTGCTTTGCCAATGATAAATTTCGCTAATTCAATGGGAACAATGTTTTGAATTAGTAATGCAGCATTACCCAAATTGATGATGTTCTTTGAAGTGTATTCCTTGCTTCCGGAAATTTTCTGTCGATAGAAAAAATAAAAACGGGAAATCGAAAGTAAATGACATAGTAATGATTTAGTGATGAGTGGCTGCGAAGCAATCGACTATGCCACTTCAATGCTCCGCTAATGTCGTATCCAATGAATAGCAATCAGTGTATGCGTTTGCAAATGAAAGTGATATCTTTTATCTATGCAGAATAGCAACAAAAAATGATATAATACAGAGAATTGATGACGAGCGTGTGTGTGAGTACAATGTGCCACATTAGTACAAAAATATACGTATCAGAAGATTCACTTTTTACATGAAAATCAATTTCATTTTTGTTTATTCAGCATATATATATATATATGTTACT